GGCCCATAGCTTAGACTTGTCTCTGGCCACCTTTTACAACTTAAATTAACCCATTTCTATTAATCTATGTGCTGCCCCAAGGCTCATTTACCTTATCTATGAACTTCTCATGTTGCTTCTTCCATGTCTGACTTGTGAGTCCTCTGACTCTGCCCTCCTTCCCAGTGTTCTCTCTGCCCTGAAAATCCTGCCTATTTTGGCCAATCAGCTTTTTATTAACAATGCGAGGAACACATTTTCACAGTGTACAGAAGGATTATTCCACAGCAATCCAAAGCATTGGAAATAAGGGCTCATGTGGATGTACAAAAGTAACAAGGTAACTTTATTAAGAGTCAATCAGTAATACAGATTAGAGAGGGATATACTGTCAAGATTGACAGTGGGCTCTATTAGTTAGAGTACTTCAGGACTCCAATTATTGTTTGGGCCTTAAGAAAAGAAGTTTAGTTGTTAAAAGGTATAGCATGAGCATTCTCTGGTTTGATTGATAAATTAGGTTATATAATCATCCTACTGTGCATGTCCCTCCCCATAATGCATCTGATTTTAATCATGCGCCCATTCAGTTATACATAGGCGTAGGATAGTAAATAGGGATATCTTCCCAAGCGTTTACTTGAGAACACTGTCTTATTGTATATGAACCCCAAAACAAGTTCAGGCTGGATTGGCCTTTCTATTCCTCATATACAAATACACTGGGAATATATATTTGAATAGAAATTGTCTACACTTAGGGCAGTGGTTAAGAGCCATACTGCTTTTGGAGGGGACCTGAATTAAGGTTCCGACATCCACTGCTCACAACCACCTCTAAATCTAGCTCCCGGGGATCTGGCACTCTAGTCTGTCTTCTGTGACTATATTAGTTACTGTCCTATTGCTGTGATGAGACAACATAACCAAAGCAACTAGAAAAGAAAGCATTTAATTAGGGCTTTGCTTAAAGTTTCAAAGGGTTAGTCTGTGATCATCATGGGAGCAGGCAGGCCTGGTGCTAGAGCAATAGCTAAGAGCTTACATCTTATCTGCAAGATGAAGACAGGTAGAAAGAGAGCAAGACTGGGCCTGGCATGGGCTTTTGAAACCTCCAAAGCCAACCCTGCGTTGACACACCTCCAACAAGGCTGAACCTCCTAATTCTTCCTAAATAGTCCAACAATTGGAAAACATTTAAATATATAAGCCTATGGGAGTCGTGTAGTCACACATGCATGCGCGCGCGCGCGCACACACACACACACACACACACAATTAAAAATAAAAAAATAAGGGGCTGGAGAGATGGCTCAGCAGTTAAGATCACTGGCTACTTTTTCATAGGACCCATGTTCAATTCCTAGTACCCACATAGCTGCTCCAAACCATCTATAACTACAATTCCAGAGGATCCAACACCCTCTTCTGACCTCCTTGGGCACTGCATGTATTTGGTACACAGATATACATGTAGGCAAAGCACCTATATACATATTAAAAATACTATAATAATAATGATAATAATATAACCTGTAAGTTTGATTGTTGTCAAGGAAGAAGAAACTTATTTCATTGTTCAGAGAAAGGTATATGTATAGTCTGATGCAGATATGTACATGGGAGTATAATGTCCAAGATTATTTAGTGCATTTTTCAGAAAGGGTTGTTTGTACATAATATATCTAGGCAATGGAACTAGTCTGCTGTATTGCTTTTCTGTTGCTGTGATTAAGCACCATAACCAAGACAACTTATAGAAGGGAGAGTTTAGTTTGGCTTATGGTTCCAGAGGGAGAAGAGTCCATTATGGCAGCAGGCATGGTAGCAGAAGCAGAAAGCTAAGAGATCATATCGTCAACCACAAACATGAAACAAAACAAATGGATTGAAAGTAGGATAAGGCTCACTCCTATCAAGGTATTTCTCCAGCAATGCTGCACCACTTCCACCTCTCCAAACGGCACCATCAACTAGGAAACAATTATTCAAATACCTGAGCCTATGGCGACATTTCTCATTCAAACCACCACAGCTGCCAAGTGCATTATTAGAAGAAAAGATTGTTCATAACCCAACTACGTAAGTCTCAGATTACTAAACTTGTCTCTGTGATTGCCTGCCTCAGGTCTGTTGGGCCTCAAACATGTGATGATCCTCTTGTTTCTGCCTCCAGAGTGCTAAGATTACAGGCATGCATCACCATGCCCAGGCTTGTTAATTTTTTGAGTCTTTTATTTATTTTGAATCTTTCCATATAGCCCAAACTGGCCTCAAACTTGTGATCCTCTTTCCTCTGCCTTTAGAGTACTGGAATTGCAGATGTGCATTACCACACCCAGCTAAAACCAGTAGCTTAAGAAAATTCTTTGCAGCCAGGTGGTGGCAGTACATGCCTTTAATCCTAACACTCAGGAGGCAGAGGCAGGCAGATCTCTGAGTTCGAAGTCAGTCTGGTCTACAGAGAGATTTCCAGTATGTTCAGGACTACATAGAGAAATACTGTCTGAAAACAAACAAACAAACAAACAAAATTCTTTGTAAAAAAAAGTTATTTTCATGTATATGTGTGTTGTTATGTGAGTTCACGTACATCATGTGTACAGCAGTCTTTGGGAGTCCAGAGGGCACTGGATCCCCTGGAAGTGGAGTTGCAGGAAGTTGTTAGCCACTATATGGGTGTTGGGAATCAAACCAATCTCCTCTGCAAGAATAGCAAGTGCAGCCAGGTAGTAGTGGTGCATACCTTTAATCCCAGCACTTGGGAAGCAGAGGCAGGTGGATCTCAGTGAGTTTGAGGCCAGCCTGGTCTACAAAGCAAGTCCCAGGACAGCCAGGGGCTGGAAATATTGCTGAGTGGTCAAGAGCACTTGTTATTCTTTTTTTTCCCCCAAGACCGGGTTTCTCTGAGTAGCATTAGAACCTGTCTTAGAACTAGCTCTGTAGTCCAGTCTGGCCTTGAACTCACAGAGATCTGCCTGCCTCTGCCTCCCAAGTGCTGGGATTAAAGGTGTGCGCCGCCGCCGCCGCCGCCGCCG